GCCGATGAAAGTTTTACATTACAGTATATAGGAAAAATCTTTAAAAATCTTCTCAAGAACCACAGGGCCAGGAAAGATGAAACTCATGTGGAATCATCCTCAGATAGTGTAGATTCAAGTTTGCTCAAATCATGACCCCCCGGGGGTAGGGTGGGGCCAAAATGGCCGACCAAAAATTCTCATAGGAATATATAGGGAAACCTTTTAAAATCTTCTTTTCAAGTACTTCAAAGCAGTGATTAGTAATATTTATGTAGAATTATCCTCAGGTAGTGTAGATTCTAGTTCGTCCAAATCATGATGTGTGCTTTTTAGGTCACCTGAGTAAACTCAGGTGACCTATTGCTATCTGTTTTTGTCCGTCGTCGTCCGTCGTGCGGTGTGCGTCGTGCGTTAACATTTAAACATTTTCAGCTTCTTCTCTGAAACCACTGAACCAATTTCAACCAATTTTGGCATAGAGCATCTATGGGTGAAGGGGAACAAAAATTGTGAATTTCGTGGTCCCAGCCCCCCTGGGGCCTGGGGGGTGGGGCAAAAACCACTAAAATTAGTGCAATCTTTAAAAATCTTCTTCTTTACTCCTGGACATCAAGCAGTCAAACTGTTGGTATGATTGTAATCAGCATTGAGTCCTCTACCAAAATTGTGAAATTCATGGCCCCAGGGTCAGGGGTTCTGGTGTTAGGGCGGGGCTCTATTGATTATATAGTGAAAATGCATTAATTCTTTGAAAATCTTCTTCTCTGCTCTTGGGAATTTAATAAACAAATTAAGTTCTTAGTTATGATAAGCAAGAGTGGCTCTACCAAAATTATGAATTTTATGGCCCCAGGGTCAGGGGTTCTGGTGTTAGGGCGGGGCTCTATTGATTATATAGTGAAAATGCATTAAATCTTTGAAAATCTTCTTCTCTGCTCCTAGGTATTAAATAAACTAACTATGTAAATAGTTATGATGAGCAAGAGTGCCTCTACCAAAATTGTGAAATTCATGGCCCCAGGGCCAGGGGTTCTGGTGTTAGGGCGGGGCTCTATTGATTATATGGTGAAAATGCATGAAATATTTGAAAATCTTCTCTGCTCCTAGGTTTTAAATAAACTAATTAAGTACATAGTTATGTTCAGCAAGAGTGCCTCTACCAAAATTGTGAATTTTATGGCCCCAGGGTCAGGGGTTCTGGTGTTAGGGCGGGGCACTTTAATGATTATATGGTGAAAATACAGTACATCTATGAAAATCTTTTTCTCTACTCCTGGGTAATAAGCAGATGAACTATTTACATAGTTATGAATTGGGCTCTTCTTCCAGAATTGTGAATTTCAAGGCCCCCTGGGTCAGGGATACCAAAATGGGGAGGGGGGGGGCTCTACTTATATACTGAAAATGAATTGTTTGAAATCTGATCCTTGGTATTAATCAAACATTTTTGATAAGCAAGTGTGCCTTTTCAAAAATTGTGCAATGTGTAGACCTAGGGTCAGGGGTTCATGTGTGGTAGGAGCACTCCTGATTATTGCTGAATATTACTGATTAGTTGACATACTTTTTTGTTCCCCTACCCTGCTTATCGGTATTAAGTAAACAAACTTAACAATTGCTAAGTATAGTTATGATTAGCAATGGTGCCTCTTTCAAAATTGTGAATGCCATAGCATCTAGCTTAAAACATGAACCAAATTCAATCATTTGAAAGTTGTTGCATGATGCTCAGGTGACCTATAAGGCCCATGGGCCTCTTGTTCCTAGCTGATGTGGTCAGGTGAGCGCTGTGGCCCCTGGGCCTCTTGTTGAAAATTTGTATACTTATTATTGACCATATGAAGGTGTGCACCTGGAATTTTCAACTTTATTTGTTCATTTTTCTGCATTTTACACGTTTTATTTTTTATTCAATTGACAAGTTCATTTTGGGTTCATGTATAAAGTTTGAGACATAGAATCTAGAATATCTGTACAAAAATGTGAACTACAGCTTAAAACTACTCATTAAAACTAAAAAAAAGACATCATCAAGTGTTAAAAACAGTTTTTACACTGCACAGAAGATAATGTAATTTCATTTGTCTTTTGGGAATAATGACTGGACATGCATCCAGTTAAAGATGAATTAATGAGTTAGGTGTAGGAAGTTGTTAAAGGCATCTCTTATCAAACATGATATCAGTCTATATCTCTTGGGAATTCGGCTGCTGGCACAAGAATTAAAGATCTCTCGTCTCTAATTCTCTTAATTGTAATTTATTGTCTGTCAAAGCACTTCATTACTGGATGACCAGCACTATATTTTCAAAATGGATTTAATATAAAGTTATTAAGAATAATTTGATTTTGTATAATATGATTTTTTTTCTTTCAACTATCAGTTTGCAGAGTGTTATGACATATTATTGCAATAAATATATTTTCAAATAAATACAGAAATAAAAAAAATGTTACAATGGAATAACAATGTATTAATATTGATATTTTATTTGGTTGCACCTTTGTTTCATTCATTAAGAAAAATAATGAGCAATTATATATTTTCACTGCAAAGTTTTGTTAGGAAATTGTGAACACCTCTAGATCCATAATGTATTTGTGAATTGGCACCTTCTCTGAAAAACCCAGCGGGGGGTATTTGTCCCTATTGGACTGTTCTATTTCAAATCATAACCAATCAGAAGAATAAAGGAGCCATTAAAGTGGATCAATACAAAGGAAAATACAGGCTACATCAATAAAAAAATTTCATCTTATGAACAGCAAAGCCAGTATGTGTCTTATTTCCAAAGGCATCCTAAGGAAGTGTAGATTTAAGTGTGTTCAAATACCCCTCCCCCTCCCCGCCCCCTCCACCGAATCCACTCATATTTAAACTTTTCAATACTAAACTGATGTTTGCTGTTACCTGGCCACTTCCTCAGGTGAGCGATGTGGCCCCTGGGCCCCTTGTTCAGACTAGCAAGCTACAGATCTGCATCTATACACTACACAGCCATTAAACATGGAAATGAGATACAGTTATTTGGACATTAGTATGCATAATGCAAATGAATACATCTGAATTTTGAAAGGAAATTGAAAGCGAGGCAATGCTGTTAACTTGTCAACTTGCACTGATGGCTGTAATTCTCTGACAAAAGTGTCCAAATATCTGTCAAAAACTTTATTGGACCTTGAAAAAAAAAACACTGGACAGACCTCTGGGACTTCAAAAATGACAAAATTAGAAAGAACATGGTCCACTTTTTAAAAATTCCCAGTTTTTAAAAAGACCTACATAATACTATTTGTCCTCCGTCTGTAAACTTCACATTTTGTACTATTTTTCCTCCGTCTGTAAACTTCACATTTTGAGCCGAAGGCTCAAGTGAGCTTTTCTGATCAAAATTTGTCCGTTGTCAGTCGTCGTCGTTGTCGTCGGCGGCTGCGTAAACTTTTCACATTTTCGTCTTCTTCTCAAGAACCACTGGGCCAATTTCAACCAAACTTGCCACAAAGTATCCTTAGGTAAAGGGGATTCAGGTTTGTTCAAATGAAGGGCCAAGCCCTTTTCCAATTAGTGAAAAATTAATGGCATTTTTCAAAAATCTTCTCAAGAACCACTGGGCCAGGAAAGATGAAACTCATGTGGAAGCATCCTCAGGTAGTGTAGATTCAAGTTTGGTCAAATCATGACCCCTGGGGGTAGGGTGGGGCCACAATGGCCGATCAAAGTTTTACATAGGAGTATATAGGGAAAATCTGTAAAAATCTTCTTCTCAAGAACCACAGGGCCAGGAAAGATAAAACTCATGTGGAAGCATCCTCAGGTAGTGTGGATTCAGGTTTGTTCAAATCATGACCCCCAGGGGTAGGGTGGGGCCATAATGGCCGATCAAAGTTTTACATATAAGTATATAGGGAAAATCTTTAAAAATCTTCTTCAGAATCTTAACATGCTTAAGAAGCACTGGGCCAGGAAAGATGAAACTTATGTGAAATCATCCTCAAGTTGTGTAGATTCAAGTTTGTTCAAGTCATGACCCCTGGGGGTTGGGGGGGGGGGCAAAATGGCTGATCAAAGTTCTACATAGAACTAGATAGGGAAATCTTTCAAAATCGTCTTCTCAAGTACTTCAAAGCTATGATTAGTGATATTTATGTGGAATCATCCTCAGGTAGTGTAAATTCTAGTTTGTTCAAATCATAACCCCCAGGGATAGGGTGGGCCACAGTGGGGGATCCAAGTTTTACATTAAAATATATATATAAAAAAATCTTCCAAAGAATAGCAAAGCTATGATTAGTAATACTAGTATTTATATGGAAGCATTTTCGGGTGGACCAGGTGTAGAATTAAATTTGTTCAAATCATAACCCCCAAGGGTAGGGTGGGGCTACAATGGTGGATCAAAGTTTTACATAGAAAAATAAAGGAAAAAATCCCAAGAACAGAAAAGCTATGTTTAGTCATATTGACAGTTAAGCATCCTCATGTATTGAAGATTTAAATTTATTCAAATCATGGCCCTTTGGGGTAGGAAGGGAAACAATGGGAATCAAATTCAAATTATTATGAAGTTATATATAGGAAGAAAATGTTTTTGAAAAATCTTTTTATTAAGAACAGCAAAGTCATATGCTGTATTAATATGAAGACGATCTCAAGTAGTATTAAAATTCCCCCCCCCCCCCCCCTTCAGTGAACTTCTGAGTTCTGATCTGATTTGTGCTTTTTCCTAGCCGATTTTCTCAGGTGAGCGATGTGGCCCCTGGGCCTCTTGTTTTAAATTCTTCTCAACCACCAGACCAATTTTAACCAAACTTGCACAAAGCATCCTTGGGTAAAAGGGAGTTCAAATGGTTAAAATGAAGTCCCAAGTCCCCTTCCAAGGGGAGATAAGAAGAAAAGACAAAAAGCCCTATGTTGACCAAGATGAAAATAGGGTGGGATATCATTAAAAAATCTTATTAAGAGAGCTTAGAATAATAGAGAATGATAAATTATATTATGTTTTTTTGTAATGTGTCAGGTGTGTGAGTGTTCATCAGGCAGATGACAGTGCTTATCAGCTGCTGACAAGTATGGCACAACAGGGACTAGATATAGATCAGGACATGTGGAGCCTCTTTATTCCTAGTGTGACTCAACCCAGTCCAAGAGCAGTGCAGTTTCTGATAACATATCTGACCCGAAACAAAATCCCTGAACACTTCAAAAGTCATCTGTCTTCCTTTCTAGCTCAGACACCAGACAGTGATGACAAGAATCATCCTTTGAGAAAGCAATTGTTGGGTTGGCTCTTTCCAGGAAGAAGTCAGTATGGAGCTATTTCAGCAGATATTCTGGATGAAAATAAGGCAGACCCCAGTGATATTGGGCACCTATTTGCTTTGCTACTTTTTAAAAATCAAAGTGATGTGCCAAATTACTTTCACATGGAACCAGACACTGATGATGCTTTCTATACAAGCCTTGAAAAAATGTATTTACTGTCATCAAACAGATTTGAAATCGAGAATTTCAAAGATAAAACAGGAACAGAATTCGTTGATTCTTGTTTTGAATGCAATTTTTTGTATGATCTTTTTAATCATATTTTGAACCTTTTGAAGGATGAAGCAACAGCTTTGAGTGATGTGATTGACTGTGATTTGAAACATTTAGAATATCTCAGTTGGTACATCTGTGCAGTAGCCAATATTGTTCGATGGATAGTGAAGTACTGTGCTGGACAAAAAGGTTTAATGGCAGAGAAGTCAGAATTGACTAACTGTATCAAAGTAATGCTCAGGATGTTTGGAAAAAATGTCAAAATTTTAACTTTGTCTCAAAATTCTTCATTATCTTTGAGAATTCTTAGAAATTTTCAGAATACTTTGATGTTGGAGAATGATGTTAAGTCAAGCAAAAAGTATTGTGAAGCAATGAAATTGCAGTCTTTGGTACCAGCATGTATCATTGAAAATTTCACTAGTGTTCTAGAAGAAAAGGTACACGTTTAATATGTACTAGTACATTATTAACACATTTTGTTCATAACTTCTCTCTGTATTTTATGATGTGAACATTGTAATATCCTATTGAACGACAAACTTAATCTTTATTTTCTCTTCTAAGAGAAAAAGCTCAGATGGAGTCCAGAGAGTAAGAGCTGACATGTCGCGTGTCATACAGGGAGCTGACGAATTTGATGATTTTGACATGGAAATTAAGACACCAAATGATGAGAAGGGTGATGATTTAATGGAAGATAACTTTGCTGAATCCCAGGAATCTGATGTAACAGGAAGTGATGGAACTGGTGAGTTGCAATTTAGGATTCACAATGTTTATAACTTCTGTCATGCACTCTCAGCATCAGGGATAGCAGAACTCTCAAGTGAGCTTTTCTGATCACATTTTGTCCATCATCTGTCCATCCATCTGTCTGTCTGTCTGTAAACTTTTCACATTTTCAACATCTTCTCAATAACCACTGGGCCAATTTTGACCAAACTTTGTACAAAGCATCCTTGGGTGAAGGGAAATTTAAATTATGAAATTGAAGGTCCACGTCCCCACAAAAGGGGAGATAATCAAGAAAAGACAAAAATAGGGTAGGGTTAGTAAAAAATCATCTTCTCTAGAACCACTGGTCCAGAAAAGCTGAAACTTATGTGGAAGCATCCAGGGATAGTGTAAATTCTAAATTGTTCAAATTATGACCCCTGGGGGTTGGGGACCACAATAGGGAATCCAAGTTTTACATAGAAATATATCGGAAAAATCTTTTAAAATCTTCTCAAGAACCACTGAGTCAGAAAAGCCGAAACTATGTGGAAGCATCCTGGGGAAGTGTAGATTCTAAATTGTTCAAATCATGACCCTCAGGGGTTGGGTGGAGCCACAATAGGGAATCCAAGTTTTTACATAGAAATATATAGGAAAAATCTTTAAAAATATTCTTCTCACAAACCACAGGGCCAGAAAAGCTGAAACTTATGTGGAAGCATACTTGGGTAGTGTAAATTCTAAATTGTTCAAATAATGACCCCTTGGGGTAGGGCTGGGTCGCAATGGAGAATCCAAATTTTTATATAGAAGTATATAGGAAAAGTATTTGTAAGTCTTCTTCTCAAGAACCATTGGGCAAGAAAAGCTGAAACTTATGTGAAAGCATCTTGGGGCAGTGTAGACTCTTAATTGTTAAAATCATGACCCCCCGGGGTAGGGCAGGGCCACAATAGGGAATCGAAGTTTTACATAGAAATACATAGGAATAATCTTTAAAAATCTTCCTCTCAAGAACCAGTTGGCGAGGATAGCTGAAACATATGTGAAATCATCCTGGGGTAGTGTAGATTTTAAATTGTTAAAATCATGACCCCTGGGGGTAGGGCAGGGCCACAATAGGGAATTCAATTTTTATATAGAAATATATAGGAAAAATCTTCTTCTCAAGGACCAGTGGGCCAGGAAAGCTGAAACTTGTTATCCATTTCCATGTAAATGCAATAAACAGATATATTTTTGGCATCTGTTAATTGTCAGTCTCCCGTAATATTGCTGTATGATCAGGAACACCTGGGTTGATAGACCATCTAATTGCTCAATTGACACCTACCTGACGATCGTGGTATCTGTCAGCCATTGTTGTAACTCACTCAAGTGTAACGACAGGTTATTCCCCTTTGATAAAATACTATTGAATAAAAAAAAAAAAATGGCGGCTAATTTTTTTCTGGTTAAATTTTTTTAAAAAGCGGAAGATTTTATTCTTTCACGGAAGGGATAGAAGGGGATTGAAAAAATCGGGAGATTTTGACTCCCGCTGGAAGGATCACATGTATGTGGCTCATGGGCCTCTTGTTCATGTTTTTGGCAATGCCGAACATGCATACATAATGTGAACTGTAATTCGTTGTTTTGCATTGCAACTCTCTGAAGCAGCCAATCAAATGAACCACGCATATTTAATAACATATGACTTTTTTCAGCGAGTTTGCCCACAGTGATAAGTAAAGACAAGATCACCTGTGGGTTTCCGACAATGATGAAGTATGCCCTTACCATTCAAAAGTTGTGGCCGAGGTTAAAATTTTATAAAAAGTACATTAATCTTCAGGGTCAAAAGGTAAAAATTATTGGTATTCAATGGAAGGTCTTGTCATAAAGTAACATATATAAAATATGAAAGTCCTAGTGTCTAGGGGCCACAATAAGGAATCCAAGTTTTACATTGAAATATTTAGGAAACATCTTTGAAAATATTGGACCAGAAAAGTTGAAACTTATGTGGAAGCATCCTGATGAGGTAGTGTAAATTCTAAAATGTCCAAATCATGACCCCTTGGTTTAGATTGGGGTCACAATAGGAATAACCAGGGGTGTTTGGTTTTGAAGAACATAGCCAAAGTTACTCAAGTGAAGGATATGGCCCATGGGCCTCTTGTTAAGGATTAGGTTATGATAAAATGAAATACATGCATTAGTGATGCTTAGGATTTGCTAGTAGAAATTAGCCTTAAGCTTTATGACTGTCAGATGACTTCTTAAGAAACAAATTATTCTATATTCTGCATCATGATTGTTTTTCACAGACATGAAATTTATTCTGGATGACAGTCAACTAACTGACACACAACAATTTCACATTGAATTGACCAGAACATTGTGCTGCTGGTGTTCCTTAGACAGTCCAGAATACAGTAGAGTCCAAGCAGGATTAATGATGGAGGTGGAGCTGTCAACTGTTAAATCAAAACTCATCAAAATTATGGAATTGGTGGATGACTACAAGTCTTTTGATTTATTGCAAGTTAGTTTATATTGAAATACTAATAATGTATTAATAATCTAAAAAAGTCTGGTTCACTTTACACTTTAAATATATAATCTTTATATATAATCAGTCAAACTTGTCAAAATTTATGTTATCTTATAGAAAAATTCTGGAGATCTAGCCATTTTCACCAATACAGATTATAAGCTTATCTGAATTGAAAGTTCAAGTTTCAAATGAGCTTATAACATTTTGTCTGTTACAGTAGTGTGTCTGTAACCTTTCACTTTTTCAAGTTCTTCTCCAGAACCACTAGGTCAATTTTAACCAAGCTTGCCAAATAGCATTCTTGGCTGAGGGCTATTCCAGAAAAAAATGTATGGGGGGGTTGGACGGCAGTTCATATATTTTTGTATGGGTAATGGGGACTGTAGCAATTAAATTTGTATGGGTGGTTGTCCTCATCCGATATATTTTTAGATGGGTGGTTGCACTTACCCTCACAAATAATCAACTGCAAAGAACTTTCTTTCATTTCATTTTGTATAAACCGGTAAATATTGATATTTATTTTAAAAAAATAATAAACTCGTCCTGAACAGTTGTAAAACTGTGTTTACATTGAAAGTGAAAGTAGAATCGAACAAACCGGAAGCAAGGGCAGATAATTATAAAAGCATGTGGTGTCATGACTGTAATGACAGTGGAGGATTGGGACACGGATTCTTTGTGTTCTGGACCCTGGCTGTGTTCAAGTTTCTTTCCAGCAGTTTAATAAAACGTGATTATATTAGTAAATTAAATGATATGACAAATAATCAAAGAGATCGTTTTCTTTTAAACCGAAAGAAAAAAAAAACGTATCTGATAATGAACATTCAAGAGCATTGTTATGAACTTTGCAAGTCGAATATTTTACTTTATACCAAATACGGAGTCAAATGATGTTGATATATGAGTTTGTAACAATATAATATGTCAATTACATACCAGTCCTTAACCTGTTGGGTGTTATCTCGAATATATTTTTAACTCATTAATACAAAAGAATTTTTTTTTAAATATTTCAAGAAACAAGTACCTTTGGTTGTTTCTTGTAGGTGGGATCAACACTTCGTTGTTTTTTTTAAAATATTTCTCTCTATCATAGACAATGCCCTACATAACTTTAGTGCCCCCCCCCCCCCCCCCCCCCAAAAAAAAAAAAAGAGAAATGAAAAAAAAAATTAACATGCAACTCTTAAGGATTGGCTTTAATTCACAATATTCATTTCAATTAATTATAGGAATATAATATCTACTAGTGCATGTTAACATGTCTTGGATTTACTTGAACTTTACAGATTATAAAGTCTAGTGTCAAAACATATATAAAAATCATTATAATTTAAATAAGGCTTTCAGTGGTATGTATGACAGACCTAAATGGTACATTTTTTAACCTATAGGCTATAGCAGGAACCCTGTGGCCTGTTTTTCAAAAGAACTTTGGACTTGAACTAAAGATTTAGTTGAATGTGAAATCTTACAAATCTGTTGTTTCTGTTAAAATGTATATGCATATAAAAAAAAAACTTTCTAAATTCTTTTCAAACAGATTAATATTAACCTTTTTCAAAGTAATGGGGAAAAAAAAGAAAGTTTTGTGCATAACATTTCGATTTTCATCATATTTATTAAGTTTTTTCCTTTTTAAACGAGGTCCTGGTTTGGATAGATCCAAAAAGCGAAAACTCATTTCAAGTCACATAAAGTGCAAATGCTTGAAAAAAGTACCAAAATCCGAACACTCATTTCAAGTCGCATAATTAAAGTGCAAATGCTTGAAAAAAGTACTCAGTCTGGTACATAAAATTTTATTGTATATACCGATATACATAACTGAAAACAAAGATCTTGCAAAAAATTATTTTAATTTAGATGGGTGGTTGTATTTAAAGCATTTTTAATTTGATGGGTGGTGGGGGAGAAAGTAATTAAAAATGTATGGGTGGTGGGGTAAAAATAAAAGTGCCTTCCAACCCCCCCATACATTTTTTTCTGGAATAGCCCTGAAGGGGCTTCAAGTTTTTTTTTTTTCATATGAAAGGCCACATCCTCTTCCAAGGTATACCGTAAATCTGGAAATTTTTGCTGTAGATAAATTTTTAGCAAATTTGCGAGTTCTTAGCATTCGCAAAAATATTTTTCTTAAAAATAAATTACCTATAAGGAAATGTTAACAAAGCAGTGGTCATTCGCAAAATTTTGAAACGTAAAAATTAATCAACAGCATTTTGACCCGAATTCGCAAAATAAAATCGACGTAAAAATTTCCAGATTTACGGTATTAAATTTTGTTTAAAACATGACCCCTAGGGTATAGGGTGGAACCACAGTGGATAATCAAACACACATGTATAGGAAAAATCTTTAAAAATTTTCTCCAGAATAGCAAAGTCATGATTGATCATATTTATATGGTAGAATCCTCAGGTAGTGTAGTTTTAAGTTTGCTCAAATCATGACCTCTGGGGATAGGGTGAGGCAATCATGGATGTTAAAATTTTTACATAGGAAAATATAGGAAAAATCTTTTTAAAAAATCATCTCAAGAATAGAAAAGCCATAATTGATCATATTTTTATGGAAGCATCCTCAGGTAGTGAAGATTCAAATTTCTTCATATCTTGACCCCTGGGGATAGGGTGATGCCACAATAGACGAACAGTTTTACATAGAAATATATTTGAATTTATACACAACATGACAAAAAGTAAAGGTTTAGATTTATTAAAATGAACACATCACATAATAAATCAAAAAACACTATGTACAAAACAAGGTTTGGGTACAAAATAAATTAAAAACAAAAACTGTTATAAAAATACGTTACAGAAAACTTCGGCATCTTGGGGGCTGCTCTCTTATTTAACTACATAGATTAAAATATATAACCTGGGGGGAGCCCAGCAGGTTATCAGTTGGTATCCCAGAACCTGGGGGGAGCCCAGCAGGTTCCAAATTAAAATTACCTGGGGGGAGCCCAGCAGGCAATCATCGATACCGAACAAAGCAATATTTTTTGGTTGAAGTCAATCAACCTGGGGGGAGCCCAGCAGGTTGATAATAATATAAGTACCTGGGGGGAGCCCGGCAGGTTACTAAATGTGAACTTAAAGCATGGTACTAATACAGTAGGTATTTCAATCAACCTGGGGGGAGCCCAGCAGGTTGATAATAATTCAAGTAGTTGAAGTACCTGGGGGGAGTCCAGCAGGTTACTAAATGTGAATTTAAAGCATGGTAAAAATACAGTAGGTATTTTGTGTGTTGAGTACACAATTTGTAATATTTAATAATAAAGCTTTAATGAGCATTTCGCTTATTTGAATTGGGGGTAGAAAAATTCGAAATACCTGGGAATTTTAATGTCCAAATTGAATGAGTTTTAAATGTTAAAAAGAGTGAGAGCCCCCAAAGAAATAGATGCCAAAACCAATACAATACTTTAGAAAAACAATACAGATCTACCAAGTGGAAAAATTTTACAAACTAAGTTCTGTTCCCACAACACATTTTCTTTTGTGCTTCTGTAAGCACTTTTTCATCAGTTCTTATGTACCTAACATAACAATTTGATGACCAGCGCCCTAGAGTTTGTATAAGATGGTCTTCTATACCGGCTTCTGCTGCAGAAGTAGCAGCACCTATTCCAAATGAATGTCCACAATATTTAGTGTCATCATAGCCTAACACAGCCATTACATGTCTTAAATAAGATACCAATTGATTTCTCAACAAAGGTGAACCATCAGCATCAACAAACAGAGGTGAGTTTGGTTGAGCGCCTTGTGAAATACGTAGCTGGCAGTATTCATGCATAATATCTACAGGTTTGGTGTGATCATTGTTAAAAACATGAATAAAGACACCTTGACGAAAAGGGTCAGTTTTTGAACATTTCAAGTACAAAGTATACGACAAAGTATCTTCCTTCTCTATAACATCTTTCATACTAAGAAAATCATTGTCTACATTTCTACTCTTTACAGTAAACTCTCCACAACGGAGAAATCCAAAAAATGCCATGAGAGAACAACATGATAGCATAAGTTCTACGAATGGTGAAAAAATTGAGCCATTCAACTATTAAGCATTTGACATAATATTTGATACGTAACAGGAAATCTTTTAGGTTTTGAAACACTAGATTGAAGTCTTTTAATGCCACGTAAAATGCAGTCTAGTCTTTCATGTTGCTTTAACCCATTTTGCTCTGAAACCAACTGAGAGCATCTTATCAGTATATCGGAGAGCTGTGCTGCCAGCAGCTGTGATAAGCCCAGATGTTGGAGGCATGTTGATAATTGGCTAATACCTATCTTGTTACACTGCCTATGTATATAAAAGTATATATATTTCCAGACAGACAATTAAATTGTCTACATGATGATATAAGTTTTTCCCATCATTATTATTATTTACTCTCATAAATCCTTGTTGAAAGTTGGTGATGATGAAGAAAAAGAAAATAAATTTTTACTTCTTTTTAATTAGATGCATAATTACTCATTTAAAGTGAATGTAAACAACATGGTTTTTTGCAATATTTTTATACAGTAAAACACGGTTATTCAATTCACTTTATTGACAATTACCATGTCGGCATACAGTCATGAACATGAATAACATAACATAAATTAACACAATTAATACAAGCATATACAAAGTGAGAAATATGAGGTGAACAAAATTGTGTATTTCTCAATATTAATATTCATTTTTGACTTTCTTTTCTGATGTCAAAGCACTTTTTCAAGAAACAACATATCCTTCTAGCAGTTGAAATATTTGTAGGATTGACAATTTTTCTAATGGGGTTATCACTAGTATATGTGTTTACATTAAATATATCATTATAATTGCATCTATATTGATCATACTTTGGACAATAAAGAACAAAATGTTTTTCGTCTTCAACAAACAATTTACATGAGTAACATGAACGTTTTTCTCTAGGAATAGGGGGTTTACAGTATCTACCCGTTTCAATA